AGAGAGGAGAGAGGTTAGAACTCATCCTTAGGACTTCTTGGGAAGGGATACACGAATTCACGAGCCTTAGGGTCTTTATATAGGTGTAGAGATAAGGTTTCACACATTATCCTTATCTAGTTGCTTATCCACAAAGCAACCCATAAGATAATCCTTGAATCCTTATCATAGTCAAATTCTAAGGCCTTATCACCTTAAATTTGTCCAACCTAATAATAAGATAATCCTTACCTTATTTTGTAACTATCACATAATTACAATTCAGCCCCTCTAGTTTAATTAATTACACTTGATCACAAAATTAATTCCTAATTAATTATTGACCAATATTAATTAAACAAATATGATTTCTCCTTTAATATATTATTCTTATAACATATTAATAAATCATAATAATCTCTCTCTCTCTTTATTTATTTCTCCAATCAAGTTGCTTTGGTGAAGGCAACCCAAAAGGACCATGCACCATCGGGTTAAGTACATACCAAAATAGTTATGGACTTAGACACTAATCCAACAGTATTCGTATTCTTATGTCTTATTATACTGTTGTTTTATAATGAGCCTCTTGGATGCATCTAAGATTCGAAGATCTCAAGCAATAAAGATTCGAAGATATCAAGCAATAAAAAGGGGTTGTTTTTTTGTTGTATTCGAAGATCTCAGTCAGGATTCTTTTGTGACAATCCATGGTAAATGTGTAGATTTAGGAGTGATCTAAAGGTGTTCGATGAGATGTCTAAGAGAAATACATTTACATGATCACCTATGAGAGTCTTTATTTTGGTTTAGTAGTTAAATTTGTCGGTTTGTGTATGCAATTTTCATAGTGAGCAAGCTTTCAACCATGACCCTCAGATTAGCAATGTTCATGAGGTCAATGTCATCACAGGTAATTAATGAACTCCACCATCCTCTTTCATGCATGATTTTGAAAACGATACTTACCCTACTGCATTACTTTCTTATACCGTACAACCTAACAATGGATCAACAAACAAATCATAACTTAATTCATTCAGATCCATTGATTAATGGTCTGTTGTATGAGCAATTACAAGAAAAGGAGAGGTGATGACGTGTGCAGAGAATAAAAACTCATAGTTGTTCCATGCGGTTATGGGAGGGCTAGGTCAATTTGGGATCATCACAAGGGCTAGAATTACATTGGAAGCTTCCTCTCAATGTGTATGTTTTAATTTCTTTTGATATGTTTAATTTACTATTTTAATTACATATTCTTTCCATGAATATACAGTATAATTTTGGTGAAAACAAATTAAATTATAATTATTTACAAAATAGCAATGATTTAGTGGTCCATGTTTATGTTCAATTCATGGCGATATATGAAGTTTTTTCAACCAATCAAAACTTGTTTGCGTTTGCGTTTGTGTTTGTGTTGTTGTTGATGTGTCAGTTATTGTTATTATTATTCCATCGACAAATATAATGTCATTTTCTCACGCTTTTTAGGTTATGGCCCATTACTCTTCTTTCTTAACTTATTATTCTATGATAATTGACAATTAATTACTTATCACCTGCAGGTGAGATGGATTCGTGTTCTGTATTCTAACTTCTCCGTGTTTACCCATGATCAAGAATATCTCATCTCCCTCCATGGTCAACCAAGCTCCAAGAAGTTTGACTATGTCGAAGGTTTTGTAATCGTGGAAGAAGGCCTCATCAACAACCAGAGGTCTTCCTTAAATTTTTCTAGAATTTAATTACTTCAAGGTGGGATTATTTTAAAATTTTATACAATGTTGTGCATCAGTGTATAACATGGACCAATCTGTAAATTTTAACTATCTAAAAAAAATTATCAAAGGGGTCATTTTTGTATTTTTATACATACATACAATCTTTTATTGCATTTTACTTTGTCTCTGTGTGTAACCAACATGGACAATTTATGTGTGTCAGTGTGTTTATTTTTAATCGAAGGAACAATAATAACAACATTCTTATGTTCATTAACCGATAGTAGCAACTTAGTTTTACATTTAACTGAGGGACAATTTTTCTTACGCCTTATTTCATATTCCTTTTTTGGTTGTGGGGTTAGGGTAGAGTTATTTATTTGACTGTCTTTTGAATCTATATATATATATATATATATATATATATATATATATATATATATATATATATAGAGAGAGAGAGAGAGAGAGAGATATATAGATAGAGAGAGAGAGAGAGAGAGTTAGGTTCATATGTAAATGATAAATATTGTGTGACCGTAAGACCAATTCTAGACCAATCACCATTTAGGGGTAATTTAGTCATTTTGTACAATATCATTATAATTTCAATTTATCAATTAATTAAATAAACCTAATTGAAATCCTATAATTAAGGAATTTAACATATAATCACCACCTTCCGTTATTATCTTTGTCGCAACCATCCTCAACTTTATCAGTCGTCTTCATCTTCATAAATTATAATCACCGCAGCTGCCACCGTCATCATCGCATCCATCACAATCCACACCACCACCATCTTTCTAATATCCTTATAACTTAATCCCCATTTGTCCATATATATCTTTCAACCATCCTGCAACGCATCAAATAAATCGCAAAAACAAAAACTAGGGCTTATCACGACTACAGGACCCATCACGACTACAAAGGTAAAAAAAAAAAAAAAAAAAAGGTTAAAAAAGCTATTCTTTGCAGCCTGGGCTTGCTGATAAGGCATCATTCTTGAAGCATTTCAAAAACTTTCATGTATTTGTCACTCTTAAATCTGCCACCACAAAGGTAAAAAAAGGCGGGGAAACTACCATCGGTTTCTTGTTTTCTTTTCGGCTGTAACTTTGATGATTACAACATTTTTTTAGCAATTTTATGAATCGATTTTTTTTATAAAAACTCTATGTTTAGATATTGAAACTTCTATTATTTGGCCTAAAGACCAGACCTTGGTGTAAAGTCAAATTGCCCACCATGTGTATGATAAAAGGTCCAAGAGAATCTTTTCATTGCCTAACATCTGTATGATAATAATTTCATTAAAGCATAATTTCCCAACCTATTCTTCATAAAAAGTACTTGAAATAAGTTCATGGAGTACTAGGTGTTTAATAATTTATCACAAATCCTTAGCTTTTATTTGCTATATATTTGGATCCAAATGATGACGAATCTTTTGGTTTTCAAACGAGGTGGAAAAGTGAAGTTGAATTCTATCTTAATATCTTTTTTGAAGTTGATCATGAAGAGCAAGTAGATGCATTATATGGTAAGTTTTTATATATCCCTATGTTTTATAAAAGTTTATTTGTAAGCTTTTATATATTACTTTTGAATGATACTATCTATGGAGCTTGTTTTGTCATTAGAGATGTTGAAAACAAGAAAATCATAAACCTCCATGAGGCATTTAACAAATTCCCTTTGCATTTACTTTTACCTTTTAATCATAACAATGGATTTAAGATTCTGATATGCAAATGTGAGGTGAAATGAAACTAGGTACCCTAATAGGAACAATGATGTGCAATTAATTAATTTTGTAGAAACTGAATTTCTGAGTGAACAAGTGAATTTCAAAAAGAATTTTTGCATTTTGTTGGAGGATAATCATATTGATTATTGATTTGTATTTTTAATGTAATTATAGGTTGAAGTAATAAAAAGATATATAAGTATGTTGCTCGGATAAGAACAATTTGCAAAGGACATGGTAAAAATTTCATTACAAATTTTGTTTCTATGTGACTTGACTGTTGCAGAAAAAAGGAATTATGAATGCGATAATATATGGATTTGTTTCACACGTAAAAGAATAATAATAAAAAAAAGAGAAGAAGAAGCGGGTTCAATTTCTTTTTGGATTTCCATCTGAACACAAATGCCATGACAATTAAATTCCTAAAATATATTTTGCAGTTGTTTAAATTTGAACCAGAGGACTTGCAATTCGATAATCAAAAGGAAGGGATGCAATGTTATTGATATTCTTCAAGAATGTATACTGCAATATTCTTTAAGAATGCATACTGTAATATTTTTTAAGAATACATACTGCAATATTTTTTAAGAATGCATATTCTTTTAGCATGTATTAGCAAGTTTTCAGAATGCGTCAACAAATTATAATATGATTTGTATAACTTCCTTTTTCTATGATTCTCAATTAAATATATCAATTTTCAATATAAATGAATAATCTTTTGATGCAGTTTCTTATTATTTAGAGTATATACAATCTTATTCTTTTAGAATGTCTAATTTGCACTAAATATCTTGTATGGATTCATATTCTTTAAGAATGCCTAACTCAAAAGAATGCGGACATAATATCAACAAAATGAACAAAAAGAATGAATGTGTTCTTAAAGAATTTCCAAAATGGATAAACTATTATACCATATTTTTAAAGAATGAACGAACAATAATAAACTTTTTTTAAAGAAAATCTTCATCCGATATAAAAGATACAAGTTTCCTAAACTTTTGGTTTTTATTCCTTAATGTTCGCATTTTCCTAATTTGTTTTTTAAATAAAATGTCCAGTTTACCCTTATTGGTTATTTTTATATTGAAAATAATTAAAAAATTTCCAATTAATTACCATCATGCTACTCTTCATCTTATCCATTCATTCTTATAATTCAATGGTCAAAATGGTCATACAATCACAAATATATATATATATATATATATATATATATATATATATATATATATATATATATATATATATATTTTCATCTATGTCCCACATGTGTTTATGACTTACATCTTAAAACTCAAAAACGAAGATAACACCTATTACTGTGATACCGTTATCGTATAATCTCTTTAATAATGACTAGTAGTAACAGATAAAGATAGAAGATTTAAAATAATTATTAAATATTTTAAAGTTATTAAATATATGAATTTAGACCAACGGAAATAGTCTTACTTTTACTATATATACATGCATCGACCATTGCTATGCAGAACGGTAAGAAACCCTTTCGAATACTAAATCGGTACATCATGACAACTTATCCGGAGCTCCAAACTTTTCTCCTTTCTTTTTTGCCGTTCATCATTTTGATGATCTTTATTCATTTTGGATGGCTTTCATTTATACTATTATATGGCTGTAAGGACATAGCCTTTTCTCCTTATGGGGAATACTGGCGGCAGTTGAAGAGCATAGTCATATGCCATCTTTTAAGTAATAAGCAAGTCAAGTCTTTCAGAAGAGTGAGAGAAGAAGAGATAGGTGTTACAATTAGCATGCTTACAGAAAGTTGTGGTTCAATAGTTGATTTGGGTGAATTGATGGTTTCACTTGCAAATAAAATAACATGTAGGACAGCTCTAGGAAGAACCTATGATCATGGATCAAAGTTCACAAAGTTATTGACAAGGTTCATGAATATGCTAGGTGTTTTTTGTGTTGGGGATTACATTCCATGGTTGTCATGGGTGGATCGACTCAAAATTTTAGAGGGAAATGCAAAGACAATTGCTACACAATTTGATGATTTTTTTGACTGTGTTCTTAAAGAACATAGAAGTATGAAAAGCAGGGCTGGTCCTGAAAAATGAAATATTCTTAAAGGCCCAGGACGAACAAGAAAAAAATGGCCCTTATCTTTATTATAATTTTGTATTTTTAAATAAAAATATATAATCAAAAAAATTAGACCCTATGCAGCTGCCCACTTTGTCCTCCCTCTAAGCCCCCCATGACGAAAAGTACTGCGGAAGATGCTAAGAGCGATGAAGACCGAGACTTGGTTGACATCTTACTTGATGTCCAAGGAAATGAAAACAACTGGATTTCCCCTTGGTGATGAGACACTTAAAGGGGTCATATTGGTATGATTTCTCCCTCTACATCTCCAGATTAACGAGCTATAATTAAACACCTTTTTCATACATTATATATATAAAAACTGATACAACTTGCATCTGATCATTTAAAATTTGTCATATACATACGCATATCTACCTTAACTTCTTAAATTTTACAGGAACAATCGATTTTATTAAGAATCTAGACAGAAGCTAGAGAGGAAAATTACATAAAAGAAAGTGTTGGAACAACCTGCTGCAGATCAGATCAAGAACATGCCAGAAAAATAGTTGGGATACAGAGATAGAGAATGCTTTCTCTTATTTCACTTGCTTTCAAAGACGTTTACAACTAGAAATATTTAAAGCTGAACGGAATAACAAAATAAAGCTAAAAACAAGCTAATCATGTGCTCCTATCTATGTGGTCACTAAGCCACGTTATTCACCTACAAACCAGGTCAGACTCTTAACCAAATCAGAATTAAATTCCTACATTCTTCCCCCTTAATTCTGAGTTGTGTCTTCAATTATTTCAACTCCCAATAGTTTCCTCATCTCAATGAACTTGATTTGAGGTAGAGCTTTGGTTAAGGGGTCCGCTCTTTGTTCTTCACCACTGATGCGGTTCACTTCAACTTGCTTCCTTTCAATACACCCACGGATGAAGTGATACTTTGTATCAATATGCTTGCTTCTTCCATGGAAAACCGGGTTTTGCATGAGAGCTATAGCTGACTTATTGTCGACGTACAACTTGATAGCTCCAATCTTCCATCCAGTCAAGTCTCTCAGCAAACTTCTTAGCCATAGTGCTTGGCACGCCGCCGATGTTGTTGCCATAAACTCCGCCTCACAGGAAGACAATGCAACAGTTAGTTGTTTTTGGGATGACCATGTGATTAGGTTACCTGATAGGTAGAACACAGTCCCGGTTGTTCCCTTTCGATCATCTAACTCCATTCCATGACTGCTATCACTGAACCCAATCAACTCTCTATCTCCTCCCTTCCGGTACACCAATCCATAGTTGCTTGTACCTTTTATGTATCTCAGGATGTGTTTGACAGCCTTGAGATGACTTTCTTTAGGTGACTCCATATACCTGCTAACTACTCCAACACAGTACCCCAGATCAGGTCTAGTATGGATTAGATAGCGTAGGCTGCCAATGAGTCGCCTATAATTTGTAGCATTCACAGGCACACCACCTTCATCTTTAGTTAAAGCGAGTCTTGGTTCCATCGGGTACTTTGAAGGGTTGCATTCCTCCATCCCAACTGCTTGTAACACCTTCTTTGCATACCCAGTTTGGCTTATTGTGATGTTGCTTCTGTTTTGCTGAACTTCTATCCCAAGATAATAGGATAGTTTGCCCAAATCGCTCATATCAAATTCCTTCAGCATCTGCTTCTTAAAAACATCAACTTGTTGCTCACTTGTGCCTGTCACGATCAGGTCGTCCACATAAACCCCAACTATTAACACCATGTTTGGTCTTTGTAGTTTGTAGACTGCATACTCTTGAGGACATCTCTGAAAACCTAGTCCCTTAAGAGTTTTGTCAAGCCTCATGTTCTAGGCTCTTGGAGCCTGTCTCAACCCATACAAGGCTTTGTTTAGACGATACACCATGTGTTCTTTACCTGCAACCACAAAACCATCAGGTTGTTTAACATACACCTCTTCATGTAGGACTCCATTCAAGAATGCAGATTTAACGTCCAGGTGGTGAACTTTCCATCCCTCCTTAGCTGCTAATGCTAGCAACATGCGAATGGTTTCCAAACGTGCCACTGGGGCGAACACCTCATCAAAACCGATTCCCTTTCTTTGCACATAACCCTTCGCAACGATTCTAGCTTTGTGTTTTGTAACATTGCCTTCTGCATCCTTTTTCAACTTGAACACCCATTTTAACCTAATGGGTTTATGGCCTTTGGGTAGACAAGTCAATTTCCACGTTTTATTCTTCTCAATTGATTCTAGTTCCTTCTTCATGGCAATTCTCCATTCATGATCACTTGAAGCTTCGAGATAGGTTGTAGGTTCCTCTCCTGCATACATTAACCCATCTTGATCTTCTTCTAAAGGCTGTGTTTCATCGTATATGTCTTGTAGTGAGCGAAAACATCGAACTGGAGTGTGATCATATGTTGAATGGTCATTGTTGTTTCCATCTGATTCGGTTGATGAGCTTCCTGTTTGAAGTGGGGTAGAAGAAGGCGAGTCACCTGCATCAGACCCGGTTGGCGTCGGACTTGCTAGGGGTGATTGAGGAATATTTTCATTGATGTCGGGCGTAGGGTTCCAATCTTCTGTTACATCGGCTTCCATCGGTTCTTCCTCAATGATGAGCTCATCTTGGAACTTAATCCAATCCGCCGTGAGATCTTGGGTCCCAGCCCAATTCCACTTTGTTTTTTCATCAAAAATTACATCGTGGGCCACAACTATCTTCTTTTGTTTAGGGTTAAACAAACGAAAAGCTTTACTTCCAGGTTCTGACCCAAGATATACCAATGCCACACTTCGATCACTAAGCTTTGTAAGATGGCTTGCTTTTCTTTTAGCATGTGCGACACACCCAAACACCCTGATGTGTTCAAGTGTAGGTTTCATTCCTTTTAACCCTTCATACAGAGTCATGTTTTTCACGCCTTTTGTTGGAACCCGGTTCAGAATGTACACTGCATGACGTACCGCCTCACCCCACAACACCTCTGGTACGTTCATGGTCTTTAATAACGATCGTGTTACTTCAAGAATTGTCCGATTACGACGTTCTACCACCCCGTTTTGCTGGGGAGAGTAGGGGGTCGTCAACTGTCTTCTGATCCCTTCCTTACTATAATAATCATTAAATTCGTTAGAGGTGAATTCACCTCCCCGATCTGTACGTAAGGTCTTCACTTTGAAGTCTGTTTCACTTTCAACTTGAGTCTTGAATTTCTTGAATGCTGTGAACGCTTCATCTTTTGTTTTGATAATAAACACCCACATGAACCTGCTGTAATCGTCGACAATCTGAAGGAAATACCGATTACCTGCGATGGTGTGTGGTGTTATGGGGCCACAAAGATCTGCATGCAACAGTTCTAACGGGTAGTTTGCATGCCACTGAGCTTCTTTTGGGAATGGATGTCTAGTTTGCTTAGAAACTAGACAACCTTCGCACACCTGTGTGGGATGTTGTATCATCGGTACACCCCGTACCATCTCTTTTCCAACCATGGATTCAATGGCTCGAAAATTCACATGCCCCAATCTTGCATGCCAGAGCCAAGCAACATCATCTAGACTGGTATTAAGACATACAGGCTGTGTGGTGTGCAAAATAATTTTGTACAGACGATTTTTTGAGCGTTGTACCTTCATGATAAGCCTATTATTGATGTCATGTACCCGTAAGAACTCATGTAGCATTTCGATCCTGTATCCTTCCTCCGTCATCTGCCCTAGGCTGAGTATGTTGCTACGTAAGGCTGGAATATAATATACTTCTGCAATGACAAGCTGCTCTTTGTTTTTGCATTCCAACAGAATCGTCCCTCTGCCTTTTATCTAAACTTTGGAGCCGTCTCCAAACTGTACCTGACCCGTTACCCGTTCATCCAGTTCAGCAAAGTAACTTCTCACCCCTGTCATGTGATTGCTGGCCCCATTGTCTAAGTAACACAGGTGTCTTCCTCATTCCCTTTGGTAGATGGGAATACCTTGTCTTCATTCAACATTACCACCTCCTTTGTTTTTTCTCCATATACAGTTAAGAGTAGAGCCGACTCTTCTTCATGGGCTTCAGTGAGATTCACATCAGCCTCCTTACGTTTTGGATGTGGGCACTCAGAAGCATAATGCCCAAATGTTTCACAGTTAAAGCACTTTATGTGCTTTTTATCTCTACTCTTCCATTTGTTGTTGTTATCACGTTGTGGTTGGTTGCTTCCACGACCACCTCTACCCCGAGTGCTTCCTCTTCCACGACCTCCAATTCTGCCTCCTCTTTCATGGTGAGACGATCCCCTTCCTCTTCCAGCCACAGTGGAATTTGTCCAAACCGACTTTTGACTGTTTTGCCCTTCAGATCGAGTGAGCAGTAGACTTGCATCACCACTTGAGTTCTCACTTCGAAGTCTTAGTCGGTCCTCGTAAGTTTTGAGTCTTCCAATCGCCTCTTCAAATGGCATTGTATCCAAGTCTGAATACTGTTCGATTGATGCCACCAGTTGAAGATACTTTTCAGGGACTGAATCAAGTAACTTTCTCACAAGTGTACTATCTTCAAGAGTGGCACCCAGGCTGCTGTACTTCGAGTGCATCCCACTTAGTTTTCTTGCAAATTCATCTATGGAGTCTCCATCTTTCATCCGTACGGCATCAAATTCACTTTTCAGTGAATGTAGTCTTGCTTTCTACACTCGATCAGCACCAAGATATCGTGTTTTGAGTGACTCCCAAACATCTTTTGCTATTTTCTTTTGTGCAACTTGTAAGAGAAGATCTTCTGGTATCACTTGGAAGATGTATGCACGCGCCATCTTGTTCTTCTTTTCATCTACAGTCACTCCGACTGGTTTTTCAATGGATTCCCATACACCATGAGCATCCATGATAGCCTCCATCTTTATAGCCCATGTCGTGTAGTTTGTTGAAGTCAACATCGGACACTGGAATGAAACTCCACCATTTTCTTTCGTGATTTGCTGGCTAGAACCTGACATGTCTTCGTATCGGATGTACTTTGGCATGAA